CAGCATAGTCTACGGCGAATAATCTAAACTGACCTAATTTTTTGTATTTTTGCTTAGCAATATAAATTGTCATTCATTACACGTCGCAAATTCACGTTAAAACACACACCGCCTCCGTGAGCAGGACGTATGCGTGCGCGTTATCACGCGCGTGCTGGTTGTAATATATGATTGTATGAGAGGCAGCACACTGCCTGCTGATGCGTGTGCGTAATCACGCGCGTACCGCGGTGTGCCGTGTCTCATACGGTCCCTTACAATACAACGTCATAACTACGCGCGTGATGACGTGCACGTCACACATACGGAGGCGGTGTGTGGCGCCCTTAATATGTACTTATAAATAAGTCTAGAATATTTAAGTTCAGTTAAAATGGAAAACATCATAAATCTAGGCGGAACTTGACTGTTTTTGAAAAAGGTGTAGATACTTGCTGAAACGCTTTGCATAACGTCGCAGTAAATTATGCATTGCTACAGAGAATTTATTGAAAGTGATGATTCTGGGCATTTATCAACTGTTTTATAGAAAAACCTACTCAAGCAAAATATACCTATGCAACAGCTGTTTTTTTTTGTGATTGCGATAATAGCCCTATCAAATAAAAAAATATCATATACCTCTAGATGCCTAGAATAACCAGTTCGAATAAATGTCCGAGTGCCGTGAATACACTGTATAGGCTAATCGGTTCTACAAATTCTGAGCGAGCTACTTTTGAAAAGCTCAATATGCAACTAGAACTAGAACTCAACTACTATTTTTAAGGCTACATTAAATTGAGTATAATTATTTTTAAGGGCGTGTGCTATCCACAAAACTGGACATTTTTATTAGACATTTTTCTTCGAAGTATGAAAAAGTCTTGGAACATCCATACTAACTGACACACTTTTTCAACATTTTTATATGGGAGGCCCAATTTTAGTTTCATATTTCAAAGAAATGTTCACACTAATTATATCCACTTTAGCAAGTAGAACACGCCCTTAAAATAAATGTCCTTAAATAAATTTAACCCTGTATTGTACGCTATACAATCCATTCAAGTAAATGGTTGAAAATTGAACCGTTTATCCACTAAACAACAAGGTGACTATTTTTTTTTTTTTTTTTTTTTTATCTAAGATGGGCTTACTCTTGACCCCAATCTTACCCTAGAGCAGAGATGGGATCTACGGTGGAGCGAGCTTGCCCAGAAGATGCCTATTCACTCTAGACTTAAAGAGATTCAGGTTATATGCACTCGGAAATACAGACGCAGGCAGGGAATTCCATTCTTTAGCCGTGCGCATAATGAAAGATGATTTGAAGCGCTTAGTGCGTAATGTGGGTATATCAACTAAGAACGGATGGTAGCCGGCCGTGCGTCTGGATGTCCGATGGAAGAAAGGAGACGGTGGTATGAGCTCATGCAGCTCACGCGCACACTCTCCGAAGTACAATCTGTAGAAGACCGATAGGCAAGCAACCTTGCGGCGGTGAGCCAGGCTGTGAAGCTTGGTCGCCACCAGTTTTTTATCGCCTATTAATCTCTTGGCTCTGCGTTCCACCGAATCCAGTGCAGCAAGTTGGTATTTAGCCGAGCCATCCCAAAGGTGACAGCAGTACTCCATGCAAGATCGGACTTGAGCTTTATAAAGAGTTAGAAGCTGTTCAGGCGTGAAGTACCGCTTGACTTTATTCAGGACGCCCAACTTTCTAGCTGCAATTTGAGCCTTGGACTCGATGGTGGTGCCGAAGTTGAGGTCAGAGGACAACTCCATGCCAAGGAGTTGAAGAGTGTTGGTCACTGGAACAGATGTACCCCGAAAAGTAGGAGAAAAGGTGAAAGGACTCCTTTTTGCGGAGAAAAGACACGCCTGCGTTTTTGAAGCATTGAAGCTGACGAGATTGTCTTCGCCCCACTGGGAGACGTTACTTAACGTCAGGCTCGTACGCTCCATCATAGCCTTTCTCAATCTTTGGATTTCATCACCACTGGCTCCTGCGCCGGACAGATATTTCTCGGTGACAGTACTGTCATCTGCGTACCCAACAATTCCTGAAGATAGAAGGTCATTGATGTGCAGCAGGAAAAGCGTCGCGGAGAGTACAGACCCTGAGGAACTCCGGCGTCAATAGCCTTGAGGTCAGAGGAGCAGCCGTCTATGACCACTCGGATCGACCGTTCACTCAGGAAGTCAGCCACCCAGCTACAGAAGCCAGTGGGTATGCCGTACGCTGGAAGCTTGCTCAACAGACTCGCATGCCACACCCTATCGAAGGCCTTTGAAATGTCCAGCGACACTGCTATTGCTTCGCCGTGGTTTTCAATGGCCTCGCCCCAGCAATGCGTTAAGTACACTAGAAGATCTCCGTGGAACGCCCTCGGCGGAAGCCATATTGACAATCACTGAGAAGATCATTGTCTTCGAGGTACGAAAGCAGTTTGCAGTTCAGAACTCTTTCCATAACCTTACAGAGTACGGAAGTGATGGCGATCGGTCGATAGTTGCTAGGGTCGGCACGGCTACCCTTCTTGGGCACAGGTTGCACATTGGCAAGCTTCCAAGATTTTGGTACAATTTTGACACGAGAGAGGCGGTACAAGCGTGTCAGTACAGGAGACAACTCAGGCGCACAATACCTCAACAATCTTGCTGGTATGCCATCAGGACCACTGGCCTTGTTCACGTCCAGACTGCGAAGGGCTCTACGGACCTCTTTATTGTGCACTGTGATCTCAGACATCAAAGAATCACAGTGAGGTAAGGTGGGTGGATATTTCGAGCCAGCGTCTATACGAGTGTTGCTCGCAAACAGATCGGCAAATAAATTTGCTTTCTCTGCCGCGGTGTGGGCAAGCGACCCATCAGGTTTCTGCATTGGAGGTAGTGAGGGACGGCAGAAGTTGGATTCGACTGATTTCGAAAGGACCAGAACTGCTTACTACCCGGTGGGTGTGATGCAAGCTTTGCCCCAATACGGCTAATATGGTCGAACCTAGCTTTTCGTAGCACCCGTTTGCTATACCTGGCGGCGGCATTATATGCTCTCTTCTTTGCTCGCACTCTTCTCGCTCGCACTTTTCGATCACGAGCTTTTACCCAAGCAGTAAGCGGACTGTTTACGAGCCTCAGCTCGAGCACAGTCCGCATTGAACCAAGGTTGGGCTTTATAACCGAGCGGGATATCGGAGAAAGGAATGAAATATTCCATTCCCTGCCGGATTACAGCTGTGATCGCATCAGCGACGTATGAGGGTCTTCCGAAGAGAAACACATTTGCCGCCACGGGTATGAAGCAAAGAAAGCACGCATCTCGTCCCAGTCTGCTGACTCGTATCGCCATACTCTCCTCGTGCCCCTAGGGTGTAATCCGGAGGAGAGCAGATGGACACGGATTTCACCACACAGTGGTCGGATGATCCCAGCGGAGCCGAGACCGAAACCGAATGTCTGTGCGGATCAGTTGTCAGCAGAAGGTCCAGGCAATTGGGTGTGTGGTCTGTGATATCTGGTATTCGCGTCGCTTGTTCCACCAGCTGGGTGAGATCTAGCGCCAATGCTAGTTTACGCGCCTCTCGCCCAGCATGGTCAGTTTTCTGGTATGGGAACAGCCACTCTTTATGGTGAGCATTGAAGTCCCCAGAAAAACAAGCTCTGCTGTTGGATATCGCTGAATTGCTGTATCTGCCGTCTCAGAGAGGTACTCCATGAGTCTAGTCGTCTCCTGATCTCCGCTGTGCGAACGGTAAACACTGGCGTAGAGAGTTTTCTACTCCAGTGTCAACCAAAAGCCACAGCACGGGAAACCCTGAATTCTCAAAGCCACGGAGACGCTTACAGCAAACGTCATCGCGAACATACACACAGACCCTGCACGCTTCTTAAACTTGTGCTCAAGAGTGTAACCAGGGTAGTTGAGGTATGCCACGTCCAACGGTGTTGCTATCTGCGTCTCCGTTAAGAAGAATAAGTGCGGCTTCTCGGTCTCCAGGTGGTGATGGACCGGATCTAGGTTTGTGTGTAGACCTCGGATGTTCGTGAGGTGCACTTTGAGTGGGAGGAAGTGTTGCCGTTGGTCAAACTTTTTCTTCTTTTTTAGCTTTTTCATGTTTTTTTAAAAGAGTTTTTGTGGGGGAAAGAAAAGATAGTCGAGGCGCTGCTTAGAAACCCTACTCGTACCTTTCGGTTCAACTGATCAGAGAGGGAACTCGCTTGGAGACTGCGGGGACGCCCGAGCCCCCCCAATAACACTCCACCGGGTCCTCCCATCCAGCCGCCAACTGGCACGGTGGAGTATACCGGGATTTTTCACAGTTGGCGGGGCAGCCTTTGCGCGTGGCTAGCGCGCAAGTCGGGCCCCCTACTGACTGCGGTCGGCCAACGGCTGAGACCGTGCCTCGGATCCCGCTACCCTCCAAAACGAGTTACCGGATACAGCATCACTATTTTTATTCATATTTACTATATTTAACTAGGAATGAAATTCTCTCTACTAATAGCAATTTTCTTTTTCTATAATTCCAGTCCACTCCAGTGGGTTCGATTCAGACTGGCCACGAAATAGTAGTATCACCGAATCGAGACCGACATCAACCTTTTATCAAGGTAAGACTTATTACAATAATTCTTTTTATTTTGTTCTTCTTATTTTTTATTTTACTTGCAAATGAGATAAGTGTCTCGCACGTTTTCTGTTATATTATTATATTGATGGGTATATATATTTACGTTGTTTTCATTTGAGATAGGTATTATCTCACGTTTATATTTTGTTATACTACCCCTCGCCGACATGAATAGAATATAGGTTAAAGGAAATTAAAATATTATTTCGTCTTAATATCACATGTGAAGTTAAAATCGTCTAACTCAAAGAGGTCATTCTTTAATGTTAAACTTTATTATGTTCTTTCATAACATCATAACTCGTGCAGGTAAAGAATGAGTTCCGGAATGGCTAATTTACCAAATTTTAAGTTAATACAAACCAAGCAAGTGGAAAAAATTCACGCCACTGGTGGGATTGAAACCCACGTCTTCTGACAAGCCGGGTCAGAGGTTTTACCGTTACACCACGGTGGCTCTAACCCAGGCGGCGAAATTGTGAACCACTTGCTTCGTTTATATATTTTTGTTACTTGACTACTTAAGAGTAGCTTTAGCGCCATCTATGACTTTTAGTCTGTTGAGTGACCGTAGTTCTACTAAACCATTTTACTAATTTTTTGTGTCTCTATCACACATAATAAAAATTAGCAGGATCTCTACAATAATGTTGCCATTTCTGTATGCGTTCTTGAGCTGCACGAGTTACAGTATATCTTATCTTAATTCGCCCACCGCTGGGCCTCTTTCCTACCAAAACCTACCAAAGTTTCTTTCATTTCGGCGAGGGTTGCCCCACGGTTCTGACATTGCTTTCTTTGGTGCAGGATGATTTGTGTGATTATATGATTGGTTTGCTTGAGGACGATGAGGCGGCCCTGATTGTCGGCGAAGGCCCAACACTGGTATAATAACGTCTGCCCTGATCTGAAGTGTTTATCATGCGATAGTATCCCGCAAGGGCATCCTCTACTCTACGCGGCAGCACTTTGAATTGCCAGTTTAAGTGATCAACATGGGCTGGTAAAGTCCATTCAAAATCATAGTGTCATGACTCGCCTAAGCGGGAGGTCAGGTTACGCTGGTCGTGTAGTATCTAAGTATTGCGATCAGCGTAACTTGGTCTTCCGCTTTGGCTGGTCATGACATTTCATGACACTATGATGGCGAATGGACTATAACTCGTACAAGCAAAGCAGTACTGGTTGATCTCTTAAATGGGCTATTCAAGATGCTGCTGATAGTACACGGCACGTAGTGGCTCATCTTATGCCGGTTTTATAGCAAATATCCCATCGTCTGCCTTTTCAAGTTCTTCAAAAGCCATTTTATGCTGGCCGCCCTGATATTTCTCTTTAAAACAGCTAAAGATGAGCCGTTACGTGGGATTCTCATGCGGATGACCAAAAATCCATATCAAAATGTCCATTTGTGGTGTTGTGTTGGCTTGCTTTATGTGGTTTATTATTCGAAAGCTACTTCGTCATGCTTTCAATTAAATTGTAAATATTTGATCTAAGCAAATAAAGACAGATTTTTAAATATTATTAAGTAGAATTAGTATTTTAAAGAATATTTTACGGGATAATTTCAGTTCCGAAAGCATTCGGTCGCGCTTTTTGGGTCATAGCTAGTCCCTAACGAATTTTTGTGATGTCCTTAATGCCAGAGTGTTCCATCCTAAGTAAACAAATACAAATCATGAGATTGTTACAAGCTTTACTTACAAGATAGTGTACAGTAGTACCTAATAGTGTCCACATTTTCAAGATTTTTCCCATCCACGTTCCAGTTTTATTTTCCCATAGTGTGGTTTTCCGAGTTGATTGTTTTCAATCATATCTTGTGAATTAAACATACGTCAGGTAGTTTTTAGTACCCTATAACTTTCCATTAAACTACAATTGTGGAGTGAGGCAAAAAATATATTCAATAGTCGCTACTAAAATTCTAATTCACAAAAAAGTCGCCTATGATTTCTAGCAGTTTACAAATGCAAGCTTCACTTCACAATGTTACCAAACCCCTACTAAACTCCGAATGCAACCCACAGGGGGCGGTAAAAGACTCTGGGACCGGTGGCACTGCGAACACGGGTAGCAACTGGCCGCACAGTGGCAAAGCGACTCCGATTACCACGGGCCACTTGACGCCAGCCGATCGGCACGGGAGCGTGCAGGTTGGTGCTACTTTGCTCATATTTTCGCTAGTTTTGGGCCAAGTTTCAAGCGTAAATTGAGTGGTTCCGTACGGGGACGTGAGGATAAAATTTAAATGCTTTATAATGGATGAATGGGTATCCGATACAACCTCACGTTTGTTCCACGGTTTTGTGTAGTTTCAGAGTTATTCAACGTTTATAGTTGTACTGAAAAATAACTTTTTAAGCATTCGCGATTACTTTTACACATAATATTTACTTTAACGGGTCTTATTCGCTTATTTACCTAAAAACTATCGCGATAAGACCGGTAACTACATATTTTTTACTGAAAACATGGAATCGCAGCAACTTTTTCTTTTCTTTGTATGCTTGAAAGTAAACGTCATGAGGGCTATGCTTTAAAAAAAGCAACCACTCGAAAACCCCTATAACAGAAGTTAAAGAAATAGGAAACAATCCTGCCGGTAGAATTTTGCTAATACTGCTTTAAAAGTTGAATAACTCGGTAACTATGTAAAATAGCAGACCATGCATGGGTGATTTGTATATTCTTTATGAGAACGCATTTTAATTTCGACTTTGAGACGTCACTGTTTGGTTCAAGAGTGCCGAACATTTCTAAGTTTACAAATCACTTTGGTATAAGCACAATAGACTCGCGACGATACGCACTCACTTTTATATTATTTTTCTCAAAATATAAAATGCTGGAATGCATTTCTGTAGAATGAACTTGATAGTTCGTTGAATTATGCATGAATGCAACAATTTTTAGTATATGAATGATTATTATTGACTATTATTTTTTATTATTTTATTTGTGTATAATTGTGAATGTATATTGCAGAAGAATAAGTTTCGGTATGTGAAATTTCCGGGCTCGTTTTCAACGGTCAGTGTTTTATTTTGGCGAAATTTGTGTTTTGTCTGCATGACGCTTAATTAATATGAGGTGTTTTTGACTACACAAGAAAGATAATTTAAAATTGATTTTAAAAATAAATAAACATTGACCTCGAATCTAATAATAATAAAGTAGCTAATAGTTAACTATTCCTATCACTTTCTTAAACAAGGAAAATACAGCAATAAACCTAATGTTTTCCTTTCGATTTGGCTTGATATAAAATTAATCGTTTAAAAAAGTAACTTAGATTGTATGATGATGGTGACTTAAATGTGCCTTGCTTTGGCTTTCTATTTTATTGCTATCAGTGGTATAATATTTCGCAGCTAATTTGAATTATACTGTCGTTTTGATTGGATTAAAGATTTCTTTAAACTGTTCTTTTTCTTTGATAATTATTCTTTTTAAGGGCAAAACACACCGCCTCCGAATGCAGGACGTATGCGCGCGCGTTATCACGCGTGTAACGGTTGTAATGTATGAGATTGTATGAGAGGCGGCACCTGCCTGCGTATTCGTGCACGTCGTCACGCGCGTACCGCTCTATGCCGTGTCTCTTACGATCGCAATGCATTACAACAACGTCAGAGTTACGCGCGTGATGACGTGCATGTCACGCATGCGAATAATACTAAATATTAATCTAACGCAAGTGACACACACATTGGATTGAAGGCCAAAATCATTGTATGCAAATAGCAATCGTTGGCTCGAGATGAGAAGGTAGTTAGGTACAATGAACCGAGAATGAAAGTAAGAAGGTGACGCAATGTTACTATTTAGGTGCCGTGTGATGCCGGCTTAGAATAGCGTCACCCTATATCTTTGCCTTGAAAAATCCCAAGTTATAATCTCCCGGAACGTTACGTTCTTCATATGATTCTTTGAATGGCAACCATCTTCTTAGTAACCATGCTTTCTAGTTCATTCCAGTATTCGTCAGTAAGCGTCAAAATCGACGCTAGTAGTAAGCCAACTGTAAAGGCACCCACGTGCCGTTTCCCTTAATTGTGGTTTAGGTTTTGCGACGCCTTTTGCCATGTGCAATAAGCTTTGAGTTCTACGGGTTCCTACTTTCTGCAAACTTGCAGGGGAGGCCTTTTGCCAGCAGTGGGACACCATAGGCTGATAATAATAAAAACAATAAATCTTGCAGGTGGTATCGTCGACGAACGGCGAACTCGGCGCGGACGACCCGACGGCCGGGCACAGCAACACTCCCATCACGCAACAGCACCACGAGGTCGACGTGGTGGACGACACCAAGTCAGTGTTTCAACTGTACGCTACATGTTCCTTTTATTTTCTTTTTAGTTTTTATACGGCTTTTCAGGGTGTCGATTTAAACGGCGCCACTTCCCGCCTTCGTATGCGTGCGTGTAGGTAAATTTCAGTCCCGGTATTTGCGGGACTGGGGAATCTCAGTCCCGCGGGATCCCGGTATTCGCGGGATCGGCCCGACGGCCGGGCACAGCAACACTCCCATCACGCAGCAGCACCACGAGGTCGACGTGGTGGACGACACCAAGTCAGTGTTTCAACTGTACGCTACATGTTCCTTTTATTTTCTTTTTAGTTTTTATTCTGTGTAACTTAAGCGTAGGTTAAGAATCGATGAAGGGCACCACACACCGCCTTCGTATGCGTGACGTGTCTCGCATACAGAGGCGTGAATACGCGCATACTTCCTGCATGCGGAGGCGGTGTGTTCTGCAGTTAAAGGAAGCTCTAACACATCAGCAACACGCCATTACGCAGCAACTGGAATGCAATGCAAGTAAGTATTAGTCCCGGGATTGGGCAGTCTCAGTCCCGCGGGATCCCGGTATTTGCGGGACTGGGCAATCTCAATCCCGCGGGATCCCGGTATTAGCGGGATCGGCCCGACGGCCGGGCACAGCAACACGCCCATCACACAGCAGCACCACGAGGTCGATGTGGTGGACGACACCAAGTCAGTGTTTCAACTGTACGCTACATGTTCCTTTTATTTTCTTTTCTTTACTTTTAGTTTTTATACAGCCATTCTAGGTGTCCATTGAAACGGCGCGTTCGTATGCGTGCGCGTAGGGAATGCAATCCCGCAAGTAAGTTTCAGTCCCGGGACTGGGCAATCTCAATCCCGCGGGATCCCGGTATTGCGGGATGGACCCGACGGCCGGGCACAGCAACACTCCCTTCACGCAACAGCACCACGAGGTCGACGTGGTGGACGACACCAAGTCAGTGTTTCAACTGTACGCTACATGTTCCTTTTATTTTCTTTTAGTTTTTATAGATAGCTTTAAGTGTGTAGATACAGTACCACTCCCATCACGCAGCAGCACCACGAGGTCGACGTGGTGGACGACACCAAGTCAGTGTTTCAACTGTACGCTACATGTTCCTTTTATTTTATTTTTAGTT